AAGGCGGAAGCAAAAGCAGAAGCTGGACGCCGCCGGCCAATCGCAGGATCCGGCGCTCGGCTTTCCCCGCAGAGCGCTCGAGGACGGAGCGCGAACTAAGGCGGGGAGAGGCGCCTTAGAAGCGGCAGGAACTTGAAGCCGAATCCGGAAAATATGCCTCGGTCATTTGGGGGCGGGGGAAAGAGTTTAGTGAGGGACCGGAAGTGGTAGGGGGAACGCTTTCGCCAAAGGACAGGAAGCGAGGCGCGGCCATGCTGGGAAGGGAACTGAACCGGAAGTGAGGGACGGCCTTCGCGGGAGAACCGGAAGCAGGTGCCCTCCGCTTCCTCTGCTCCCGTCCCAGTCCCCGAAAGGACGCAGAGGGCGCGGGATGGCGCTGATCGGGACGGCGGCGGGTTGGGGGGCGGCGAGGGGACGGGGCGGCGCGGCGCTGCTTCAGGTGAGCGAGGCACGAAGGGTGGGGGGTTGGACGCTCTCCGAGTGCGGGCTGAGCTTCTCACGCTTCTAGTCCTCATTGAGCAGCCCGCCTCTCCGGCTCGGTTCGGGGAAGGCGGCCACTGGCTTTGCTGAGCTTGTCACGCTTCTAGTCCTCAGTGAGCAGCCCGCCTCTCCGGCTTGGTTCGGGGAAGGCGGCCACTGGCTTCACTGAGCTTCTCACACTTCTAGTCCTCAGTGAGCAGCCCGCCTCTCCAGCTCAGTTCAGGCAGGGGAAGGTGGCCACTGGCTTCGCTGAGCTTCTCACGCTTCTAGTCCTCAGTGAGCAGCTCGGTTCGGGCCGGGGAAGGCGGCCACTGGCTTCCCCTCACCTCATTGCCCCACTTGCAGATCTGCCGCAGAGCTCACGCCGGGGCGGCAGCAGCGCCAGCCCCGGAGACGTCTCCCTGCCTCAAGAAGTTCGCCGTGTACCGCTGGAGCCCGGATAACCTCGGGGAGAAGCCCCGCATGCAGACATACGAGCTGGACCTCAAGAAGTGAGTGGCCCTTCCCCAAAGCGGACTCCAGGTGCCAACTAGGGCAGGGCTGGCTGGTTCCTCTGGGCTTCCCGACGCCCAGGCAGCTGGGCTGAAGGTGAACCGCAACGTGGTAGGTTAGCAAATCTCCCCCCTCTGCAAACGGAACAAAACGACCCTTTTTGGGGGCAAAAAAAGAAGAAAAGAAAAAGAGGGCTGGTGTCCCTTTCTGGCAGCTGGCGGGTTCTCGTTCCAGATGTGGCCCGATGGTTCTGGATGCCCTGATCAAGATCAAGAATGAAATGGATTCCACCCTGACTTTCCGCAGGTCCTGCAGAGAAGGTGAGATTTGCCATCCGGCTCCGGAGGGCAGACACTCCGTGGAATACGGAGGAGGAGGCTGTAGGTTGGACCGCCATCCCGAAAGTCCTGCTTTTGCTCTTTGGAAAGCTCTGTCTCTGTCTCCCGCAGGCATTTGTGGCTCGTGCGCCATGAACATCAACGGAGCGAACACTCTGGCTTGTACCAAGAGGATCGACACCAATCTCAACAAGGTCACCAAGATCTATCCTCTCCCTCACATGTATGTGGTGAAAGACCTCGTGCCTGTAAGTCCAGCGAGTGGATGGCCTCCCCAGGGCAGATGAGACTGTGTGTGTGTGTGTGTGTGTGTGTATCTGAACTGGGAGCCTCAGCTGCAGATCCTGGCCCTGCTCGGTCAACCCTCCCGCCTGGGGAATGGCAGCCTGGATCACGACCATTCCCTGTGCCAGTCAGCCAGCTGTTCTGGTCATCTGGCTTCTGCATGGGGCTCCTGGCGATTCTGTAGGAGGGTTCCCCCCATCCATGGATTCTAGATCTGGGATGGGGCCTGGAGCTGGGAGAAGGGCACTGGCAGAAAGGTGGGTGTTGTGTTTTGTGCCTGGCAATCTTCACCATCATCTACCACACAATCATACCTGCTGTCACACATCGTGCTCAGCCTGAATGGGTTGTGTGGTTCGGGCTTAGCATGGTACGTATGAGCTGCTGTACCTGGAAGCTACCTTTTACGTGAATCATTCATAAGAGCCCGTGGTGGCACAGTGGTTAGAATACAGGATTGCAGGCTAATTCTGCCGACTGCCAGCAGTTTGATTTTGACCGGGTTAAGGCTGACTCAGCCTTCCATCCTTCAGAGGTCGGTCAAACGAGGACCCGGATTGTTGGGGGGCCATAGGCTGACACTGTAAACGGCTTAGAGAGGGCCGTGAAGCACTCTGAAGTGGTATATAAGTCTAAGTGTTATTGGTATTATTCTCAAAACTCTTTCCCTTCAATCAGAGCTTGTTGCGACGTGTAAATTCGGGCTATGTTTGTTCTCCCTCCTTCAGGACCTGAGCAACTTCTACGCCCAATACAAAGCTATCCAGCCTTATCTGAAGAAGAAGGACGAATCAAACCAGGGGAAAGAATATTTCCAGTCCATAGAAGATCGGGATAAGCTGGTCATTGCTGTTTCTTTCCTGGTCTAGTCACCGCTGTTTTTTGAGAGCTGCCGCCTCTCCTGGCTGGCCATTATAGCTCCTCTGGTGCCCCAGCAAAACCTCTTGATAGATAAGGGTGCACGTTCTCCTCCTCCCGTTCTGCTCCCCAAGTGCGTGGCGGGCGCTGGCTTTCGAAGCGCCTCCTGGTCCCCCAGGCCAACCCCAAAACAGATCCGTCCGAACCGCGAAAGGGTCTGCATAATGAAAAGCAGGGTGGGGGTGGCTGCTTTCCCTCCAGCGGGGGGAGAGAGGCCAGTGGACCTTCTTCCAGGAATCCACCTCCTCTTGGCCACCCTCTGCCTCACGAGGCCTCTTTTTCGCTCTCCCAGGATGGGCTGTACGAGTGCATCCTTTGCGCGTGCTGCAGCACCAGCTGTCCCAGTTACTGGTGGAACGGGGACAAGTACCTCGGCCCAGCCGTGCTCATGCAGGTAACGGGGCCCCTGGTGGGACGGCTCTCCGCGTGCCCTTGGCCGGCCGTTGTCTCAGCAACTGCTGGATTGGGAGGTGGGAGCTGGGCCTCTGCTCCAGGGGGCGGGGGGGAGGAAAAGCAGCTTTTCCCAAGAGCGGCTGCTCCCTCAGGCCTACCGCTGGATGATCGATTCCCGGGACGATTACACGGAGGAGCGCTTGGCCCAGCTGCAGGACCCGTTCTCCCTCTACCGCTGCCACACCATCATGAATTGCACCCAGACCTGCCCCAAGGTGGGTGCTGGGACCAGGTTCCCCAGCTGGGAATGGGCGAGGGTGAGCTGAGCCAGTTACAGAGCTGTGCCCAGAGCCCACCCGTGGTTTTTCTTCCTTAGGGCCTGAATCCTGGGAAAGCAATCGCTGAAATCAAGAAGATGATGGCCACGTATAAAGAGAAAGTGGCCCACGCTTAGCGGCTTCCTTGTGTGCAATCAGCCTGCCTTCCTGCTGGAAGGCCTTTAACTTATAGCTGGTTTTTCAGTGGGGTCATAGACTCCGCCTTGCTTGCGTGGACATGTACAGTGAAACCTGTAAAGACAAATAAATAAAAAAAAGCAGTTTTCTACCTTGTCTCCCTCCTTTCCCCTCGCCGTTCGGTTCAGGCTTCTCTTTTAAACCCTGAGTGGTGGGAGGTGGGGGGTGCCTAAGGCAGGTGCCTAGTTGTTCAGCAGCAGCTCATACGCACTTCTTCAGTTCATGAACAGCCTGTATTTCTTCAGCAAAATGTTCTTGAATAGACAGTGGATAAGCCATAAATGTCGGCATAAAAACACGCCTTGCCCAAATCTGGAAAGGTAGATTAACATCTATGCACACGAAAAAAGAGGCATCTCCCCTCGGAGAGGGGAAGAGGCGTTCAAAAGAGGGAAGGTCATCTTGTTGTTAGCTGCGAAGTTGTGTCCAACCCTTCGTGACCCATTGAACAACGTTTCTCCAGGCCTTCCTATCCTCTACCATCTTCTGGAGTCCATTTAAGCTCACGCCTGCTGCTTCAGTGACTCCATCCAGCCACTTCCTTCTCTGTCGTCCCCTTCTTCGTAGTCATTTGCAAGAACGCGGGAGCAAGAGTTGGAATACCACAAGTTAGCCAGTGAGTTGGGAATTGCTTGGGGCATTAAGATGACATTAATTCAACAGAGCCGTTTCCTCTGTGTTTATAAGGACCACCCATGGTTGCAAACGTAAAATGAGGGCGGGACCCACACAGGATAGCGGCTTGGTGGTTTTGATTTGGTACACAATTTGTAATAGAATAAAGAATAGAATAAAATTTAGAGTAGAATAGAATTAGAATAGAAAATAGAATAGAGATGGAATGGAATGGAATAGAGAACAGAATAGAATATGGAAAGAATGGAATAGAATAGAATATGGAAATAATAAATTAGAATAGAATAGAAAATAGAATAGAGATGGAATGGAATGGAATAGAATAGAGAACAGAATAGAATATGGAAAGAATGGAATAGAATAGAATATGGAAATAATAAATTAGAATAGAATAGAAAATAGAATAGAGATGGAACAGAATAGAATAGAGAACAGAATAGAATAGGAGTAGAACAGAGATGGAATAGAATAGAATAGAGAACAGAATAGGAATAGAACAGAGAATAGAATAGAATATGGAAAGAATGGAATAGAATAGAATATGGAAAGAATAAATTAGAATAGAATAGAATGCAGAATAGAATAGAGAATAGAATAATAGGAGGAATGACGAATAGAGTACAATAGAATAGAATGCAGAATAGAGTAGGAGTTGGAAGGGACCTTGGAGGTCATCTAGCCCAACCCCCTGCTCAGGCAGGAAACCCTAGACCATTTCAGACAAACCGTCGTCCAAGCTTCTTTTTTAAGGGAAGAGAAACGTAAACGCCCCTACCGGGATAAGAGGACTCCTATGGGAACAAGGCAAACCGGACGCTCCGCTAACGCGCTGCAGGAGCGGCCATATCGCACGCCTCGGAGAGGGGAGGGTGATGTGTGTGGGGGGGCCTTTTAGCCGGCTCGGCTCGGACTACTTCTCCCGGCAGCCTCCGCGAGCACTAGCCCCGCCCCCTCCGCGACCAGCTGCTGCAGGGGCTCCCGGGCTCCCCCCCCCCACGCGCCTCCACTTGGCCGGCAGCCGCGGGGCGAGCGGAGCTGTCCACCTGCTGGAAGGCGCGGGCGGCGGACGAAGAGCGGCGCATCTCAAGCTTGGGGCATCCCGCGGGGGAGGGTGCTGCGATCCCGGGGGAGACCCGGCTCCCCTTCTTTTCCCTCCGGAGACTCCCCGGGGTGTCCTCTGGCTCGCGAAGGCAGCCTTAGACCGGCTTGGCCCGCCCTTCCCCTCCCGCAGGCCGGGCTCTTGCAAGCGGCCAGGTGACACGTAGCACTGCGGGCGGCCTGGATTTCGGCGGAAGGCAATTGCCCCCCTCCTCCCCCGACCGGTGAGGAAGCGGCTTCTTTGCAGGGACAGGGGGGGGTCGGGCAGGGGGGGAGGCTGCCGCTGACCCCCTCCCTCCCTCCTCCTTTCCAGGGGAGCTGGAGCCACCGTCCCAGCTTGCCCTGCGGGCCCCCCCCCCAAAAATGCTGCAACTCTGGAAGTGTTTAAGAAGAGACTGGACAGCCATTTGTCCGAAACGGCATAAGGTTTCCTGCCTGAGCAGGGGGTTGGACTAGATGACCTCCAAGGTCCCTTCCATCTGTTATTCTGTTTTCCTTCCTTCTTTCCTCCCTTCCTCCCTCCCGTCTCTAACACTGGAAGTTTTTAAGAAGAGACTGGACAGCCATTTATCTGAAATGGACTAGGGTTTCCTGCCTGAGCAGGGGGTTGGACTAGATGACCTCCGAGGTCCCTTCCATCTGTTATTCTGTTTTTCTTCCTTCTTTCCTCCCTCCCTTCTCCAACACTGGAAGTTTTTAAGAAGAGACTGGACAGCCATTTATCTGAAATGGACTAGGGTTTCCTGCCTGAGCAGGGGGTTAGACTAGATGACCTCCGAGGTCCCTTCCATCTGTTATTCTGTTTTCCTTCCTTCCTTCCTCCCTCCCTTCTCCAACACTGGAAGTTTTTAAGAAGAGACTGGACAGCCATTTATCTGAAATGGACTAGGGTTTCCTGCCTGAGCAGGGGGTTGGACTAGATGACCTCCGAGGTCCCTTCCAACTTTATTATTATTATTCTTAAAAAAAAAATCCCACTGGGCCAGTCCCTTGCCGGGAGACAGAATTCCACCCTTCTCGGAGAGAACTTTGCCTTCGCGGCCCCGAGGCTGCTCTACCTGGGTGGGTGGGCTCCACTTCCCCTCTTTTTCCTGGGGGGGGGTGTCTCAGCCACAGGATGCCTCTCTTGAGGATCCAGCCAAAGCCTTGCCCTCCTCTCCCCCCCCCCACCGTTCCTTCAGGTGACTATCATCCTGCCAGCTCTCATTTTCTCTCTCCCCCGTGCCCCCCCCCGCACAGGCTCCACTCCGCCCTCCAGCGTCGGGAAATGGGTGGCTGAGTGAACGTGACCACCGGCTACTTCCGTCCCTGGCCCTGAAGCTCTTGATGGCGGGTGCAAGACCCAAATTCTCCTGAGGATGTTTGGGGAAACTGGAGGATCCAATGGAGGCTGCCGAACACGCCAGGATCTGGCCAGGTAAGAGGGGAAAGGGCTTAAAAAGAGAAGGGGAGGGGGCAGCCAAAATCCAGCCGCTGCGTAAGTCTCAGGCTCCCGAGCTCACTGTTGCACACTGGTGAGATTTTTTGCTTCCTCTCCTTTCTTAGGTAATAGCAGCCTGTCCGGAGAGCAGCAGCTGAATTACCATTCTCTGGAGCAGAGCCCCTGCAAATCCTCTACGGTAAGAAGGGAGTTTCCAGATTGGGAGGGGGGGAATGCACGGGGGGGGGGGGGGAATGAGAGGACCGAGGGAGAGTCAGTGCTGCATTGGGTAGTCGGTACCAGGAGCTGGAAGAGGGAGCTGTTCCAAAGCGAGAGAGGTAGCTAAGGCCGGTCTTTCAATGCTTCTGCGGACACTCCTCCACTTTGGGCGAAAGGTGGTGAATGAAGAGGACTCATGAGGAAATGAGATAAACTTGCTCTTATCTTGAGTCTCTTGTATCCTGGAGGTTTATGAAAACCAGAAGGGATAAAACTATGAGTCACGGTGGCTGGGCGTGGAGGTGTTACCAGGAAGCGCCCTTGCGGTGTCCCGTAGTGAGGTGGCCAAAGTCCTCTGCTCTCTTTAGATCAGCGGTTCTCAACCTGTGGGTCGTGACCCCATTTGGGGTTGAACGATCATTTCACGGGGGTCGCCAAACAACGCGGTCCGCCATTTTTTTTGTCAGCTGGCAGCACCGTGCATGTGCGCTGCGCCGTGCATGTGCGCCGCGCGTGGGGACGCCGCCGTGCATGCGCACCATGCGTGGGGACACCGCCGTGCATGCACACCACGCATGTGGGCACTGCCGCGCATGTGCACCGCGCCGCACATGCACGGCGCATCCTTATGTCCGGGGTCGCCAGAAAAAAAAAGGTTGAGAACCACTGCTTTAGATTCAGGATTAGTCCAACGGGGCCTGCCCTTAAGGGGAGGCTGCGGGCGAGGGAACTCCTGCCCGGGTTCTCCTGCCCATCGCGTGCTTCTTCCTTCCCCAGGAAGTGAAGGGTTACCAGAGGAAAACATGGAAGACACTGGTCTGCCACTCAGTCTCCGTGCTCACTCTGGGGCTCCCCTTGGCCATCTTCCACTGGAAGCCGCACCTGGAGATCTACGCCAAATGCACGCCCTGCCCCTTGCGCCAGGCGGACTGGGTGCTCATCCACGTAAGCGCCACGGCAGGAGGGCCCCAGCTGGCTCGGGCACTGGAGTGGGCACCTGCGTGGCCCTGGTAGCTCCCATGGCTTTGGACCCATCTCCTACCCAAAGCCACTGGCTCTTCCGCCCGTCAGCTGTGCCCGCCCTCTTCTTGCAGGATCAGCCGGGACGGTGTTTCGCATCCAGGGTCCAAACACAGCAGATAGAGGATGGCAGGTGAGCAGCGCTTCCTGTACGTTTCCTTGATTGGCAAAAGGTGTTGACGGGGGGCTGGGGGAACGTCAGTGGCTGGGAGAGAGAGGTGTCTTCTGCCAAGAGGGAGGCTGACCAGGTGCTCTGCGCAGGTAAGAGGAAGGAAGGTCTGCCCCTTCCCCCACCCCTGCCACTTGCTCCTGACCTCCCTCACCAGCTCTGGAGCCTCCTCTTAAAGAACAGGGGGCCACCCTGCTGATTCCCAAAATGTCTTATCCTCTCCTCTCTCTTTTCCTGGGAAGCCCGGAGTCCGGAACCGACGAGGGGGGAAGCGCTATTGCCGTGGGCGTTTCAGATGACCGGACAGGAAGCCAGGACACAATATGGCTGCACCAGAAAGAAGAGGTCAGCACCCTGGGATGGATGAGCCTGGCTCCGTTCTCGCCAGCTCGCCGACGGGGTCCCCTGGCTAGGCTGCATCGCAAAGGGGCACGTCACCCAGTCCTGTTGCGGCACGGATGCCGTCCCCGCCGTGGCATGAAGCAGGCTGGGCAGAGGAAGCTGTTCTCTCTGCTGCTGGTGCTGCTGCTACCTTGGAGGTGTAGATAACTCGCCCCCCTCTCTCTTCTCCTCTTCAGAAAAACGTTCTGCGCTACTACTCCTTCGAAGGTGTGCGCTACCTCTGGGTGGAAAGGCGAAAGGCCTACTGCAGGGCCAGGTGAGGTGTGCTCTCCCGTGGCCAAGGGGCCTTTACGCAAGAACACCTCTCTGCAGAACGCTTCCCTCAGCCGTAGCTGTGGACCTGGACAATCCTGGCTGGCCTAGCCGGCCTCTGAGCCTTCGGATTTTGATCCGTCCCAGGAGAAAGGTAATCCACCCCCTTCTTTTTTTCTCTTGTGTTTTGCAGCACGTTGAATGAAGACTGGACGTGCTCCGATCTCCACCTCTCCTGCCGTGGTCTGAGCGTCCAGGAGCAGTCTGCCAGGCACGTCCCCCCCTTTCCCTTCTCTAGGCCTTCTTTAGTATCCCAATTTGGGGGGCGGGCAGGGAATTGTTTGGGGGAAAAAAAGATCTCTTTTTTTTGTAAATGTTTATTGATTTTCTAATATTACATGTAAATATTTGGCGGCTGGGTACAATCACTCTATTACACATAGATACCGTTAGTATAGATCTCAAACTGTTGCAATCCCCATTCCTTCTCTTTCTCCCTTAATATCTACTGTATAGTTTAACTAAGACAATTCTTGTTCTGTCAGTCAAACAGAAAGTACCATATTTTCCGGCGTATAAGACGACTTTCTAAACCATGAAAATCTTCTCAAAAGTCGGGGGTCGTCTTAAACGCCAAAAAATACTGTATTTTCTAGTGTATAAGATGACTTTCTAAATGAAACTCTTCTCAAAAGTCGGGGGTCGTCTTATACGCCCAGTCGTCTTATACGCCGGAAAATAAGGTAACTTTCTAATGTTGATCAATCATTTTTTAGTGAACATATATCTTAGTTGTTTTAACGTTCAAGTCTTTAGACAATCAATTAGACCCAATCAATTTTTCTCCATTTTAGTTTTCCATTCATATTTAAAGTTAACGTTGAATGATGACCATTTCCACACTTTTGATGACCCCAATTCCTTTATCGCCATTCCTCCCAAAGTCTAATATTCAGGACAGACGTCTATATGAGTTCTCACCATCTACATCAGGGGTGTCAAACTCAATTTCACTGAGGGCTGCATTAGCACTGCGGTTGCCCTGGGGAGGGTGTGTGGCCAGAGTGGGTGCAGCCTAATGGGTGGGCGTGGGTGGAGTGGGTGTGGCCTATTGGCCGGGCATGGCCAGTTCTACATCATTTGCGTCAAGGGTGCCTATGGGAGGCCTGGGCAGGAGTGGGACAGATCTGAGGGTCTCTGGCAGAAGGGGGTGGGACCGGGGCAAGCGCCAAGGCATGGTCCACCGAGGCAAGTGCCAAGATGGCCACCACAAAATTGTACATTGGCTCCCGGCTGGCCTGGGCCAGGGCCAAGGCAGTGGGGGCCATTCCCTGTTTCCAGGATGGCTTCACGGGCCACATGAAACCACTTTGTGGGCCGCATCCGGCCCCCGGGCCTTGTGTTTGACATGTCTGATCTACATCAACAAGTTCATAATGCAATAATAGTATTCTTATTTTCTAATAATTTTCAAGCACCTTAAAATCTTAAATTTAATAACCAGTTGGGGGAGGGAAAAAAGATCTTGCAAGACCACCTCCCCTCATTCCCTTCTTGCTTGCTACCCAGTTTAAAAGGAGCGCTTTTAAAGAGACCTAACGTCTCTCAATCAAAGATGCACAAAATCCAGCAGTCTCCTCCCGTCGGTGGCCTCCCTTGCCCAGCACGGCTATGGGGAACAGCAGGCTCGGAGGGGACTGGCGTGGTCTCACTCCCTGCCTCAGGGAAGCATTACAGGGAAGTCAAGCCAGCCAATTCTTCACACCGAGCGCCGAAAGAGCCGGCTGTTGACTAGCAAATATCTCCTCCGCCACAGAACAGAAAGAACAATAACTTTATTGTCACTTTGAATGCACACTAATTGGCATACTCTAACATGACATTTCGTGGCACGCAGCTCTCAAAGGGTCACCCCCTCCGATGTACACCGCGTAAATATGACAAAAAATAAATGCAGAATTATCCATACGCCCACATGTATTTTAGGAGACGGAGAAACAGCAGTCGAGTCCCACACAATCTTTTATGTTTAAACACAACAAACTAGCGGGAGGCTGATGGGGGGAGTCTGCCTTTTCTACCTCGAAGCTCTGATTCCTCAAGTCCCTGACTAGCTGGGCTTTTTAGGATGACTACGGCTTTCCTAAAATTGTGCACCCCTTGTACCCTGCCCCTTTTTTGACAGAAAGATGATTTACGGCCCAAACCTCATTGACGTGCCAGTGAAGTCCTATTTCCGGCTACTGATGGATGAGGTGAGCCCCGGTTTGGCCTGCGGTTGAGCCGGCAGCCTGGCCCGTCTTCAGCAACACGAGCGAGCAAAGAAGGGCCGGTCGCTGGGCTCTTCTCCTTGGTCTGAACAGTGCAGAGCGGCTCCCGCTTCTGCCTGCCTCTGAAACAGGGAGAATAGGAACAATAATAAGGGATTAAACTTGTGTGCCACCTGACTCTCAGCAAATCCGGTCGGCCCACGTCAACTAAAATTAAGAAGCCGCGAAGAGGAAAGATTCAAAAATAAAAGGGGCACCTGTGAAGTCTTTTGGCGCAAGAGCAAGTTAGAAGGCAGCATTGCAGGTTAACTCTGCCCACTGCCAGCAGTTCGATCCTGACCAGCTCAAGGTTTGACTCAGTCTTCCATCTTTCCAAGATCGGTAAAATGAGGACCCAGATTGTTGGGGGCCAATAGGCTGACTCTGTAAACCGCTTAGAGAGGGCTGTAAAGCACGGTGAAGCGACATATAAGTGCTATTCTGGTCTTTTCAGAAGGGGTCCTGTCGTTCTGAAGCCCCTTTGCAGGGAGGGAGGGGCTTCCCAGCTTCTCCTCTGAATCATAGGCCCCTTGGGAGCTCATTGGCTGGGGGGCGGGGCTCTGCAGAGACCCAATCAGTGAAGGCGGAAGTACCAACGAAGCGCTAAGCGTACCCTTGTTCTCCTTTGCAGATCTTGAATTTGTTCTACTTTTTCCAAGTGTTCAGCATCACTTTATGGATCTGCGAAGAATATTACTCTTACGCCGTCTGCATCTTCATCATTTCCACCATCTCGATCGGACTCTCTCTCTACGTCACCAAAAAGGTGGGCCCTGGCTCCAACTTTCCCCCTCCCCGCTGAACTGGTGCATCCACCCTGCCCCTCAAGCCCACCGCCGCGGCGGGAACGAGGGGTTGGCGGTGCCCCAGAGGCGCTGCTGCTCTGCCCTTGGGGCTGCGTTGACAAAGGCCTTGGTTCCTTCAGCAAAACAGGACTCTCCGGGACATGGCCAAGGTGGTGACCAGCGTGCAGATTTGCCGACCTTCTGGAGGTGAGCAAATGCATGGTGACCTCCGGGCAGTAGCCCGGTGGATCTCAAGAGCAGCTCCAGCCCGAAGGCTGGACTCATGAACGGACTCTCTTCAACTGGGTCATCCATCGGAACAGTTTCCCTCGTTCTGCACGTCATGGCATCTTTCTGCTAGATTGGGTTTCTCTGTTGCGCCTTCCTGCTGCATGCAGTCTTTGTTGGTTCTTTCTGGGTGTGTGTGTGTCAAGGACAAGGCACACCTCTTGCTCCTGAGAGCCCCATGCAGCCACAGCTAGGAACTTGGGCACCTGCTCCCTCTAGATTATGGCACCCAAAACAGGACAGTCAGACTCCACTGCCCTCAAGAAGCCAACATCCTCCCTGTCAGGAGAAGCTGGAGAAGGGAGATGCCCCTCCATGGCCAAAGAAGGCCTGGCACAACTCTCCACCCAGGTCTTACAGGTTGGAAGGGTGGGGGGGCACATTCTGAGCTCCTTCCTTTCTTGGCTACCAGAGAGAGTGGTGGTGAGTTCTGTGGAGCTCGTGCCAGGAGACGTCCTGGTGGTCTCTCCAGAGGGGATGCTGGTTCCCTGCGATGCCGCGCTGCTCAACGGCGAGTGTGTGGTCAACGAAAGCCTTCTGACTGGTGAGCCAGCAGGGGGAACGTGGGCTAGCCTAGGCTGCTCGTTGTTTTAAAGCCCCCAGCAGCACCTGCCTGCCTGGACCCCCCATCAAATGCTTGGCATGTTCCTGCTTGCGGAGACTCCAATGGCACCCTGACCTGGCTGCTTTCAAGTTTTTCTTGACGCTCCCCACCAAGCTGTCTGTTCTTTTCCCAGGGGAGAGCACACCAGTCCTGAAGACCCCTTTGCCTAAAGGCCCGGAAGAAGCCAGTGCCATCTATTCCCCCGAAGATCACAAACGACACACCCTGTTCTGTGGGACACAAGTCATCCAGGCGCGATCCTGCGGAGGCGCTGACATCCTGGCAGTTGTGACCCACATTGGTGAGGGCATTTTGGGGTGCTGCTTCACTCCCCAGCCAGTATGAAGGCTGGGGAGTCTCCTGCAGCATCTGCATCCCTGGTCTCATGCCAGCCTTGCTGTCTCCCTCCCTCCCTCTTCTTTCTCCAGGCTTCTACACAGCCAAAGGGGATCTCATCAGCTCCATCCTTCACTCCAAGCCATTGAAGCTCCGATTCCATAACGATGCTTGGAAGTTTGTCACCTTCCTTGCGATCTTGGGTAAGTTCGCACGCGATATCCGAAGTGGCAAAGGCCACTTGTAGAGTTAAGGTTTTGGACACGGGGAAAGAGACCATCTGCCATGGGCTCCAAGTGCTTCCATCAAGAGTCAGGACTGGCTGAGGGTGCTTAAGCACTATCCCTGGTTTGAGCCCAAAAGTTCAGGGACGTGCAAGTGGAGCCTGTTTTGGACAGGGCATAGTTACAGACGGTCCTTGGGAATGGCAGAAAGCTGCTGTTATCTCCTTCCCCAGCAGCACATTTGCTTTGCTGACCCTTGTACATCATTGGTTGATTTGTTCTGCTGGGTGGCCTTGTTGAATCAGCAGGAGCTAGAATAGAAACCATCTTTGGTCCATAGCAGATCCCATGTGGCCCCAAAACATCTCCTGCCTCTACACAGCTGAGGAGCTCAGCTGGGCCCTGCCACCTCTGGCCACCTCTGCACAATATATCCTGCCTGTGGGCCCTTGGAAGCTCTTTGGCTGACCTCCTTCAGCAAGGCCTCTCCCAAGAGTGCCGCTCTCTCCTTGTGGGTGTCTGCGGACTCCTCTGATACTCACTCAGCCTGGTTTGCCAGGGTCCCAAGACTTTTATTTCTCTTTCCTCCAGCCGTTGTTGGAACTGTCTATAGCATCATCATCTTAAGGAGGAACCAGGTAAGTGCCTGGGGGCTTGGAGTTTCTCTCACCATGTCCTCCCCCCCAGTCTCCAGCTGAGAACTACACCTAAGTTTCTCTGCCCTGGAACACACAGGGTGACCAAATGCCTTCAACCGGTGGCCTCTTTGGCCTAGCCACTCCTCCTATTGGGGGCGCGTGGAGTCAGCCTCGGAGGGCAACAGTTCTGGGTGCGAGGCCGGCTCAAAGAGATTGGACCCGGCTGACCTTCCCCATCTGGAAGCTTTGCCACTGAACAACACCAAGATTCTTAACGTCATCCCGTTCCAGTCTCAGTTGGCCTCCTGAATGGTTGGGAAGCCATGGTGCCAATCTGTTTCTCACGAGGCCACTGTTGGCAGGTTTCCCAGTGGCTGCTCGCCATCCGTGCTCTGGACATCGTGACGGTGGTTGTTCCCCCAGCCTTGCCAGCTGCAATGACCATGGGCACCATGTATGCTCAAAACCGGCTGAAATGCCAGGGCATTTTCTGCGTCAGTCCGCAACGCATTGACCTCTGTGGGAAGGTGCACTTGGTTTGCTTCGACAAGGTGAGAGCCCGGGAAGGGTGCTGGGGTCCTGGGCTGCCCATCCAAGTATTTTAGCCGACTCTTGGTTGGGGTTTTCTCCCAGACAGGGACCCTGACGGCTGATGGCATGGACATCTGGGGCGTCGTCCCCCAGGCCAGCAGCTCTTTTCTCCCCGTCGTTCATGACCTCCGCCATCTGGCTGATGGGCCGCTGCTTCGCTGCCTGGCCACCTGCCACACCCTCTCTCTGCTTGGAGATCTGCCTATAGGTGACCCGGTGGATCTCCGGATGTTGGAGTCTACTGGATGGGTGAGAAAGAAACGTTCCTCTATTTAGGGAACATGGATGCCATTTCCAGGGTTCTCCTACATGGTCAGAAATGGGTGAAAAGGGCAGGGGGTGGTTCCCTTTCCAGAAGGGAGAAGAACCAGCGTCCCCCATAATCCCAAGACCGGCATCATACGTGACTCCAAACCCATCAATTTTAGCTGTTGTATTTTCTGGTCGTCTTTGCCAAGCTAAGCCCTGTTCCCCATGGCTGAGGTTTAAACTGGGATCTGCTTAAACTGGGATCAGCCATGTTTCCCGCAGGACAAGGCAGCCCCCTTCGATGGGCAGAGCGGCTGCTCTTCACAGCCCCCTCTTTGCTTCTTGCAGTCTCTGGTGGAAACCAAAGGGCCAGAGGTGGAGGCCTGCCTAGACCAGGACTTTGGGACCCAAGCTCTGCTCGTCATGACTCCCCCGCAGCGGACAGAGCAGCTCCCCAGCACAGTGAGGCTCCATCCTTCCTCGCGGCGGGGGAGAGGGACTGACATGCAGCCTTCCTCAGAAGTGGCTGAGCGCAATGCAGATGGCACCCTGCGCAAAGCTTTCCTCTCAGCCGCTTCAGCTGTGGCCTCGCAGAGGAGCCATCCTGGCTGCTTCCGGGGACTCAGCTGTGGCCTCTCCTCCACAGAAGCCCCCCGTCCCCATGGCTATCCTCCGTCGTTTCCCGTTTTCGTCTGCTCTGCGAAGGATGTGCGTTCTGGGGAAGGCTCCCGGCAACAGCCCCGTGGAGGCTTTCATGAAGGGAGCGCCGGAGACGGTGGCCAGTTTCTGCAAGAGAGAATCAGGTCTTTGCCCTTGCCCCCAGCTGGCTCCCCTTGCCACTGTATGGTTTGCTTTGTTCTGAAGTGGGAGGTTTGGCTACGGAGTCCCGGGGAGGCTCAGCATCGCTTTCCCTCAGAGAGCGAGGGATCCGGCACGTCCCCTTCAAGGCCGTATGAGGGGGGCAGGGGGACGGTCTTTCTCATGCTTTGCGAGTGTGTGTCTTCCTCTTCTGAAGGCCGCTCTCCCCTCCTGCCTTGCAGTCCCGCAGGATTTTTCCCAGCAGCTGCACCAGTTCACAAGCAGTGGGTTCCGTGTTCTGGGGCTGGCTTATAAGCCCTCGGTGGCCGTGGGGACCTTTGAAGAAGCCCAGGAAGTGACCAGGTGGGTGGACAGACAGGTCCTTGCGCTTCTTTCCTACCAGCCCGGCTTCCAGGTTTCTCGTTATTTCACCCTTTGGGTGACCTTCTTAGGAGACTACGAGAATACCCAGATAAAGCACTCTTGACTTCAGCAAAACATTAAAATGCCGGTAGCAGCTTTAATGTCCGAGGTCACTGAGCATGGGATGGCACGGAAGCCACATTGATTGCTCCTCGTTCGTTCCTGGCCAAACATACAGAGGCGTCCTTGTTAATGTTATTACATGATGAAAAGTTGATAGAGGGGACAATTTATCGCGTACATGACTCACCTGGATGGGTTGGGCAAGAGCAGCGGAACCCAACAAGATTTTTGCTAGAGAAATTCACCGACGAATGGGGAGAAATGTAAAGGAGATAACATGCAAAGGTGGGATGAGGGATACCTGGGAAAACGTGAAAAAGACGATGGATGGCTTATATTGAGGAAAGACTTTGCAATCAACTAACGAAGAGTGAATGGCGCTTCTCCAAGTGCACCCAGGCAGAGGCTGGGCAGACAGGCTTTGTGCTGGATTTTGGCACTGCAATGATGCAGTGGGTCCTGGCAAGGCCCGCTGACGGATGTTTCCTCCTTGGGCAGAGACTGGGTGGAGGCGGACATGATCTTCCTTGGACTCCTGGTCCTCAAGAACGTCCTCAAGCCTGAGACGGCACCCGTCATCCATGTGCTGCGCAGTGCAGGGATCCAAACTGTCATGGTCACAGGTGAAAAAAACAGGGGAAGGGGCTGGGAAAGTTGGGAGAGAGGATTCTCTTCTGCCTGCAAGATCTTGAATGGCGGGCAGGAACGTCGGTAGCTTCTAGCTGAGATGGGCGGCTGGGCTCAGATCTCCTTTTGCCTTTAGGGGACAACATGCTCACTGCAGTGAACGTGGCGAGGAGCTGCCAAATGTTGGAGGCGCAGGAGCGGGTGGTGTTTGTGAACGCTGTGCCGCCCAGCCACGGCAAGCCAGCTGCCCTCACCTTCACTCCTTCCAATGTCTCTTCGGAGCAGGTCAAGGTCAGAACCCTCCCTGACCGTGGTTGACTTTGGGGGAAGTCAGCTTGGCGTCTCTCCTACCCAAGCTTCAAGAGCTGACAGCCTGACATTAGCAAAGGCAGGAGCGGGGGAGGGAACGATGGGACTTTTAAGGAAGGGGAGGATGGAAGCCCAACTGATCCGTGTCAGCAGCTACAGCCAGCCAAAGTCAAGTAATGATATGCAGAACTAGGATCCGAGAACTTGTTTCCTAAACAATATAGAAGCACCTAATCAGACATTTACAGATAACGGGGGGGGGGGGAATGGCCGGAGGGGAGAAGGTAAAGTATACTCCTGGCTTAAGTAAAGCATACTCTTGGCAAAACCAAACGGCCAGGGGTTGTTTCTTTGCTAGCTGACTGAGTGGGATGGTTGACACAGTCTCTCCCATTTGAACTGACCGTCAGCCACAATGGGTCGTGCCCAGCCCCAGCTAGCATTTCCTTCCAGACAGAAAGGGGAGGTGCCCAGTGTAACATTAGGGAGGGAGAGAGGGCGAGGAGAAAGCCCTACCCGAAGCAGGCTCCTGCTGATGTGGGATGCCAAGCATGGATGAAAAATCCAACCGGCTGCGGGACCCTTGCAGGGTGCCCACCAACAAGACGACGACTTCCAGGAACAGCAGCCATCCTCCTTCGCCTTGAACGGGAAATCCTTTGCGGTTCTCTGCGAGTGCTTCCCAGCCCTCCTGCCCAAGGTAACACCTAAGAGGGAGATGAACTGGTTCACTTGTCCCCGGTTTCCTCAGACCAACGTCCCTTTTAGCGGGACGCACCTGTTCCTGGCCTTCTCCCAGGGTTCTCGTGACCAGCCTGCCTTACGGCATCAGGCTGATGGGAGAGTCGAGCTGGGCCTCTGCTTGGCACCTAAGCAGAGCCAGCCTCTCTATCTCATAGCTCCTCTTTCTCAGTGGCAACGACAGCTCCCAATTGTCTGAGTTGTTCCCCATTTCCAGAGAAGCAAAGGCGCAGCTCACACACACATACACACACACCCTTGCTGTCCTTTGCAGATATTAGTCCAAACGACTATCTTCGCACAGATGTTACCTGATCAGAAAACTCGCTTGGTTGAGCATTTGCAACAGCTGAAGTAAGTGTGGGGGCTGGAGGCGAGATTTCCCCACGTCCCTCTGGGTGGAGCGGAGAGAGCAAAAAAAAAAAGGGGGGGTGTGGAAGCATGGGAAGGATCTGGGCCCGAAAAGGCCCCCCCTCTTGCAAACCTAATGCCTGGGAGCTTCAGAGATTGGGAGGGAGGACCTGACCTGCGAGATCGAGAGTAGCCAGCATCAGCGTTGCATTTGGAGAGAAGGGGAAAGCAGCACAAGTTGCAGCTGAAAGATACTAAGAATACTAAAGACCGGCTCTCCCCCCCCCCACCCTTTTTTGGGGGGAGGGAAAAAAAGCAAGGTGGGTGGGAATCGGTCTTCCGTTTTAGGGAACGACTGCCTGTGTTGCCTGCAGCTACTGCGTGGCGATGTGTGGAGACGGGGCCAACGACTGTGGGGCTCTGAAGGCAGCCGATGTGGGCATCTCGCTTTCCGAAGCGGAGGCCTCGGCGGCAGCACCATTCACTTCCCAGATGGACAATATCAAGTGCGTCCCCATCACCATTAGGTAGGTGGGATGGACTGCCAGTCGCAGAGTTGATGGCCCCCTTTCTCCCATCCAGGTTCTGCTCTTCCTGAAGAGGCTGGGGGGGGGGGTGCCTTGCTGACCTCTTTGGGAGAGGGAAATTCAAATCCTGCCCCTTTGGCGTAAGCTGCACTGGCTAAACAGTGGGAGTCCCCTCTGTCAGGGATCCATGCTTAACGTTTCCCTCTGGGCCACCTCCCAGAAGTAGGAAGAGGGGAATCCATCTCTCTCTGTCGTCATCTGTCCAGGTTTCCATTCCCAGAGTGGCCTCAGCTTGGGGTGGAGTTTCAACCGTTTTGATCCTAGGTGAAATGAAGCCCTCGGGTCTTCCTGCAACTGTCAGTCCCCCTCCTCACCCCCCAATTTTGCCTCTGGACGGCATCCAGGGTTGAGTTGCTTCTTGGGGACATTCACTGAAAGACGCCGTGTTTAAGGCACACCCGTTTGCAAAGAAAGTGTTCTTTCTTGCCTGGGACGAAGCTTCTGAGCAGAGCATATTCCCTCCCTTGAGCTCCCTCACCCGGCAACCCCAATCCCTGCTCTCCCAGAAGGGTGACCAGCCGTTCTCTCTCGTCTTTAGGGAAGGAAGATGCTCTTTGGTCACCTCCTTCGGCCTCTTCAAATACATGGCCTTCTACAGCCTCACGCAATTTGTTTCCGTGCTCCTGCTGTACACGGTAAGATGGCCATTTTCCTTCCTGCCCTTTTGGCTCGCAGACTCAGAGTCCCGGGTGAAGGTCGCAAGCAGTGAGGTCTAGAAACCTCAGCGCCAGGTGTAGGATTTGCCCAAGGGATGGCATCAGGTACGGGAACTACATAAAGCGACAAACCCCTACCCAGGTAAAACAAAATGCCCGCGGAGGAATAAGGGAATTGGGGCTTAAAGGAGCAGCTTTTAAATGGGGACAGAAACAGCCACGTGCAAAAGAAGTGCAAGGCAGGCCGTTGCATCTCTCCATTTCTTCTGTCCTTCCCCTTGTCTAGATCAACACCAACTTGAGCGATGGGCAGTTCCTGTTCACCGATCTCATCATCACCACCACGATAGTCGCTCTCATGGGCAAGACGGAGCCTGCCGAGGACTTGGGTCTCCGGCGCCCACAGGGAGCTCTGATCAGCCTCGCCGTCCTGGGCAGCCTTTGCCTCCAAACGGCTCTCATCGTGGCCGTTCTGGTGATCGTCTACTTCATCACCATCTCCCAGCAGTGGTGAGCGAGGAGAGAGGAAGAAGCCCAGTAGCTCCCTCTCGCTGGCCCTTTTACACTTGGCCCCGCGGAGGCTGGTTCCTGGACTAGCTCAGCCTGCCGTGGGTCAGCCTCTGCAGTCAGGTGAGGACGGGCAAGGTGGCCGCCAGCCCAGATTCAGCCACCTGCCTACTTCCCTCTCAGGTTCACCCCTCTGAACAGCACTCTGTCGGCCCCTGCAAACCTCCCAAATTACGAGAACACGGTTATCTTCTGCACCTCGGGGTTCCAGTATCTCATTTTGGCGGTGGTCGTGTCCAAAGGCCGGCCTTTCCGCAAGCCGCTTTATACCAACGGTAAGTGTTTCTGCACAGCAGCTCTATCAAGAGGAGGCCTGGGACGAGTCAGACCGGTTTTTCTCGGGCAGCCCCTCTTCTGCCTGGTCCCGCGCCCAAGCCTCGTCTCGGTGTCTCCCTCTCCCCAGTGCCCTTTTTGATTGCCTTACTCTTGCTCACCGGCTTCATGATCTGGCTGACCGTCTTTCCGCTGGCCTTCATGCAAAAGCTCCTGCGTTTGAAGAGCCCCGGTGACCTGAGCTTCAAAGTGATCTTGCTGGGAATGGCTGCTCTCCACTTCTTCGTGGCTTTCATGCTGGAGGTAAGAAAGGAGCAACGGAGTTGGGAAAGCAGACTTTTTAAGATGTGGTCCAAGGCAGCGGAAGCCGTTCGTTGCAGTCTTCTGTGAAAGCCGAGCCAAGATCCTTTTTTCTGTGGCTGGGCCAGGCTTGGCTTGGGAAATGGGACTGTTGAGCGGCTGAGCATCCGCGGCGGGCTTTCTTGGAGCAGCGGGCTGCCGCTGTTGCCAGCCGCAGTCTGGCAGTCGGATCCATGTGTCACCCATTCCTGCTCTGCTTCTTCCACAGGTGGGCCTGGACCATGGCCTGCTGAATGGCTTCCGGAAGCTGCGACGCAAGAAGGCATCCAAAAAGCTTTACAAGCAGCTGCAGTGGGAGCTTAGCCAGGAGAAGAGCTCGTGGCCGCCTCTCCACGCACCTCTCTTTGCTCCCACCGCAACCTCCCCAGCCACAAGATGACACCAGTCGGTGACTGTCTCTGTGTCGGGTCTCTGCTGCGGTTCCTTTTTGGATCTAGTCCTTTCCTCCCAGCAGCTCTCCCGGTCCATCGGGGTCCTCCATTGACTGACAAAGGCAACTCTGAGACTCCTCTCCCCCTGTGGTGTTTCTCAGCCTCTAAGCACATCGGAGAAAGAAACCTCTTGAACTCGCATTTCTCTCTAAGCCAGACAACCAACAGTGGAATTGCTGTGCTGCAGAGGAGCCATTTCCGTCAGCCTCTCGGTCGAAGCCATCAGCGGTCCCAAGATTTTGGGCCTCTCTGGGGGGTTGTGTCTTCCTTGAGTTCCCTCCTCCTCAAAGGATAAGCCTGTAGCAGCCGTTGTTTGCCACATGCTGGCTAAAAAAAAGCTGGCTGAGAGATCCCTTTGTCAAAGGCGAGAGCCCAATGACCTTCAGACCTTCGGGGAATTTCAGCACGTGCAGCACTCGTCCCCCATCAGAACTTCAGGTCAGAGAAAGATGCTGTCTCCAAGGGCTGGCCCCTGGCCAGTCTTGAGAATCAGCTCCATTTCATGAACTGAGTGGAGGTCTTCTTTCCACTGCAAAGAGACCGGCTCTTCTTTGCCTGGGTTCCTCTGGCTACCATTTCTAGTTGATAAGGATTCTTCACCAGCTTCCCACGGACGGGCACCCGTTGTGGATGGCCACTTTTGCACCTGCACCACGGCCTCCCCAATTGAAAAAAAGGGAGCCTGCGCAAGAGAGGACCAGAAAGAGCTGGGCCATTCAGTCTGTTTTGCTTTGGTTAAGATTTTCGTGTGTGTGCGCGCGCGTCTGTATACATATACATGCATACATATATATACATACACATAAATGTATATGTATATGTGTGTGTGTGTGTGTTAAATTTGGATTGCTGACAAAGAGTGAAAGGGAAGCTGGTATAGCTATTTCGAGCTGCTTAGCTCTCATCAGCCAGTTACACCCTTCTGAGATTCGAAGATTTCTTCTTCCCATATTTGGACCGACCGGGTGCATCATAAAAAAAAACACTTACATATATACATATATACATACATACATACATACATACATACATACATACATATATGTAGGTCTTTGGTTATTCGGGTTTTCTCCCGCGTAAAATTGGAGGAGCACGAAGCACGAAGCTGAAAACACCAGCCTGAAGATGACGAATGGGACTTCGTCGAAACGTCGCCAAGACACTTCCAATTTTATGCGGGAGAAAACCCAAATAACCAAAGACCTACATAGAAACACCCGCGAAAACCTCAGAAAACGTATGTATGTATGTATGTATGTATGTATGTATGTATGTATGTATATGTATATATGTGTGTATATGTATATATGTATGTATGTATGTATGTATAATGTGTATATATGCCAGTTTCTTAATATTAGCAATCACGGTTGGATATTCAGAAGGGCTTACTGTGGGACAATTAATGATCACAGACACAATAATGTATTAAACGAGTAACGTTGATGAAGACGGTCTGGGACAAACTCAGGAAAATAAATGCCAACTACAGGCAGGGCATGACTTAAAAGGTGGCATGGCAAAGCCTGGCCAAGAGGCACGTGAGGGAAGAGCTGACCTGGATCTTGCAGGCAGCCCAGGCGGTTCCCGAAGGGATCCTGAAAAAAACGCCGTGGGCCTCTCTGGAGCTGCCCTCTGCCCTAAGACGGGAACAGTGGAGAAATGGTTTGGAAAGGCCCGTCAGCAGAGCAGACCTATCGCAGAAGCCAATCGGTAGTTCTTGGGTGCCTTCCATAGGCCCCTGCGGCGGCATTCCCAGCAGCGGTGGAGAAACTGGGCAGAGGAAGAAGCAGCAGCTTGTTTGAACCCTCCACTGCAGGGCAAGCCACCGAAAGCTGTGCCACTTCTAACAGGACACTCTTGGGGGGATAGGAAGGCATCCTTTCTGCCCATCTCAAATGAGGGTAGACTGCCTCTAGGCCTTGAGGCTCAGCTTCTGTCCAACAGCTGCCACCACCCTCGTGGAAGGAGCTGGCCAGTCCCTCCTCCACCGTGGATATTTGAAATAAACCCACTGGATGAGCTCACGCCCATGTGCCCGTCTCTCCTTGAAGCAAGCAAGCGTTGAGCTGCAGCTTCCCCCTGGGAAAACCGCTGGGAAAAGTTTAGCCCCGCTGCCTCGAGAGAAGGAAGTCGGCATTAGGACCCAGGAGGGAGGCTGCTGCAGTGGAGGCCTGGCTCCTTCAGCCCTTTGGAAAGTAAGACCCAGGCGAGGAGGTAGAGCAAGTCAGCCGGAGAGGGAGAAAGACCACCAAGCTGGTAAGTGGCTGCAGGGGGGGGGCGCCATGGGCTGTGGGTCAAGAAAGGGGCGCTTCGCAACCGGGACTGCAAAGGGCTGGAAGGAGGAATGCCAAGGGGGCTGTTGGGAGATGCCCCTGCAGGGAAGCACTACCTTTCAAAGGAACCTTTAGCAACAGATATCCAAAAGCCAATGCCCCCCCCTCCTCCTGCCCCCCCTTCAACCCCAGGCCAAGATTCCCAAAGACAGAAACAAAAGGTTGGCAAAACTAAGTTGGCTTGGCAGAAACCCCCCCCCCCTCACTTCCTGAGGGTCTGGACTTTGGATTACTTTTCTTAAGAAGTGACTTTATTTATTTTTTTGAAAGCCCCCCCCCATTCTGTCTTGAGGGGGCTTGCTTCACACCCATGGATTTGCCCAATCCTGGGGGCCGGGAAGGAAGGCTCCCTTTTGTTCTCCTACTTGTTGCAAAGGGGGGAGTGGGAGGCTGGGATGGGGAGGTGGAGTTGTGGAGGGGGCTGCCGGCCATTCTTGGCTTTGCAGGAGCTGGCTGATTGCTCCCAGATGTGCCTGGTGGGAGCATCTGGTTTCTCGAAAGCATCTGAGCCCCTTCCCCCTCGCCAGCCGAGCACACCTCCGCCGCTGCCTCGCGCAGGAAAGGAACCCAAGGGGAGCTGAGGCAAAGGAGAGCTGAAGTTCTGGGGTCTTGGGGCAGTCTGGCTCCTGGCCTCCACCCAGCCCCCATCAGCAGCACGTCCCCCACACTTACCCAGTCTGGCAGGGAAGCGGAGTCAACCTAGGCTGCTTTCTCAACCCTGAAAGCTTGACAGGCAGGCTTTGCCTGGGGGGGGGGCTCCTCTTCCTCCTCTGCGCTGGAGAGAACAGCGGGCAAAAGCTTTCTGCAGGGATCTTTCCTCAAATCCTGAGCAGGATCTGCTCCGGGATCTCTCTTCAAACTCTGCAGTGAGAAGCGAGTTATGTCTGGAGAGGCTTTGGCCAGAGCTGCTGGCCTGGGCAAGGACAGTGGGAAGCCTCTGCCTTCTCCTCGCCACTCCTGCAGGGCTGGGCAGGCAGAAATCCCAGCAGGTGGGGGGGGAGGGTGCTTTGATTTCTGGAAGCTCACCCCTCCTCGAACAGACCGAGAAGGTTGGGTCAGCTGTGGGGGATCCTAGACACCCGTGAAGGTGTGGGGAAGAGTTCCTGGCATCCTTGCTGGGAGCATCCGGCCTGTACTGGAGACGGGGTCCTTAGGGGCTACCCCGGGCAGTTCGACTCTGGAGGCCCTCTGATCCAGCCCGCCCACCCGCCCCCAACTAGCAGTGAAAGCTCGGGGACCACACCAAGTTTGCTTCTGTGTTAAAGGCTATTAAAAGGGGGGGGTGTTTCTGCCTTCCAACCCAAACAAGACTGGAAGGCAGAACTAATGAGTGTCCCCCGTTTTTCAGCTCGGCTCCAATTCAGCTACCCCCAGACCAGCATGAGGACTCTTCTGGCCCTCCTCCTCCTATGCCTGCCAGGTAAGGATCAAGCTGGGCCCCAATCACCCCCTCTTCCTGCCCCCTCTTACCCAAAGGACAGCCTTGCTTTGACAAAGGGACCCAGGACTCCCCCACCCACCCCAATCCCATGACTTGATGGACGTGCCCAGGACAGTGCCACATGTAATGAAATACTAGGAGGTCTCCTCTTTCCCAAATGCTGGGAGAGTGATGGGGGAGGGGTGTCAAAGGGCTCAGCGCAAACACAGGGTGAGGATCCCACAGAAAGGGACGCCTGGCTTCTATCTGTGTCAAGAAGCGTGAAAGGGGGAAGGCCCACTTGTGCCCAATTGCCGTGGCTCTCCGAGTCGACGATGCCGGGAAGGGCCCCACCTGGGCAGATGTGAGGCCACCCTGGGACAGCCGGCCTCAGTTTTCCCCCTCTCCTCCCTTCGCAGCAGCGCTTCTGGCTCAGGGGCAGTATGACCTCGATGACCCCGCCTACCCCGAGCCCCCGTACGCCCCTTATGAAATCGGTGAGTACCAACAAGGGTCCGAGGCCCGTCTGGATCCTGCTCGGAGGGTGGACCCCCCCCCAGCTCTCCTTCCAGGAGGTCGAATCACCTTTGGCCTCTTCCTTCTTTCCAGAGAGCCAGGATTACTACGATTATGCCGGGAACGGTGAGTCAACCCGGAGGGCCAACCCTAACTTGTAAAGCAGTGGTCCCCAATCTTTCTGGCTCGACAGCCTGGTGGGGGGGGGGAATAGTTCCTTTGTGAGTAGTAGATGGGTGCTTTGTGCAGGGGGAGCCAGCAGCTGCTGCTCACAGGAGCTTTGTGTGCAAGCACACACACACTCACACGCCACCTGTTCTGAATAAGCCGCAGACCGGTAGCGAGCCGCAGCGCGGGGATTGGGGACCTCTGTCATAAAGGGCTTGTCTAAAGCAAGCACCCCCCCCTCCTCCACCCTTCAGATCTCTCCCCCCAAACTCCGGAGGAGCACTTCCAGTCCCAGCAGCAGAACCAGCAGGAGGTCATCCCTGCCCCGACCCCAGGTGAGCAGCATGTGGGTGGGGGGGGAGGTGTCAGAAGAGAGACCCTCCCTGCCTTCTGTCTTCCTGCACTGCCCCCCCTCCCCCAGGTTCCCAGTTACTGACAGTTACTCACACCTTGCTCCTATCTGGGCTTTCCTCCCCCCCCAGATGTTTCTGAGACGGAGCCCACCGAACCGGGGCCCCTTGGTAAGAGGTCGCCAGCTCTCAAATCAGTGCCTCCTCCGGAGGTCTGCAACAGACAAGTTGGTGTCAGCCCCCCCCCCCCGATGCCTCCTCTGTCCCAGAGAGGCCGATGCTGCTCCCAGGCCTATGGGGCTGGGGAGGGGAGGGGTGCAAAGCAAGCTAAAGGCTCTTGAGACTCAATGTAGCTTCACCCCCACCCCCCATCTTGTTCTTGGTCTCCAGACTGCCAGGAGGAGCAGTACCCCTGCACCAGGCTGTATTCCATTTACAAGCCTTGCAAGCAGTGTCTGAATGAGATCTGCTTCTACAGGTGAGCGGCTGCAATTGGAGCAGGACCAAACCCCCCCCCACACACACACTCTACAACCTTTCTCCACCCCCCCCCCTGCAGGCTAGGCTCCTGAACCGACTTGCAAGGGAGCTGATGTGCTTGCAGTCGTCCCGCGGAAAGTTCTGGGGGCTGCCTGCCGATTCAGGCGTGTCGGTGGGGTGGGGTGTGGGTGTGGTGGGGGTCTGCTTTAACGCAGCTTCCACACCTCCTTCCCCGGTGGGCCGTGGCGGTGGAGTGTGCAAAGGGAGCAATTCTCTGACCTGTCCCACGTTCAGTCTCCGCAGGGTTTACGTGATCAATAAGGAGATCTGCGTCCGTACGGTCTGTGCTCACGAAGAACTCCTAAGAGGTACGCACAAAGAATGGGTGGGTTTGTGCGTCCGCCGGGTGCAAAGGTTACAGGGCCAGCCACTAGCTGGAAAGGCTGTTTGGGGGCACCCCCTTCCCAGCGGCACTTGGGACAGCTTTGCCTAAAAACTGTGGGGTGGGGGAGTTAGGAGATGTGGGGATTGTGCTCCTGATGGTTCCTCTCCTCCTACCACCCCCTAGCCGACCTCTGCCGTGACAGATTCTCCAAGTGTGGCATCATGGCGACCAGCGGCCTTTGCCAGACTATGGCCACCTCTTGTGCTCGGAGTTGTGGCGGCTGCTGAGCGGGAAGGAGCCGTGGCAGCGGGGGAGGCGCTCCTGGACCACGCATGACGCCACCGATTCGCGCCCTGAGGAACAGCAGCCCTCCTTGGCCCTCTCTCCCGCCGCAGCAGGGGCACACCTGCAGGGCTGCTCATTCCTGGCGTGACTCGGCAGGGACCCACTGCCGTCCCTCCAGCATGCCGACCGTCACCCAGCGAACCGGGTCTTGTAATTGCAACCTGTTATTTTTTTGTACGAACCGTTCTCTCCCTTATTTTTTTTTTTCTACAAAACGATTAAAAAAAAGATAAACAGACCAAACGTGTCACAATTTGATTTGTAAGTCAAAGTTTTTTTTTTTTGTTTTTTTGGGGTGATGGCGCGACAGGAGCCCTCCTCCCTGCATTCTCACCACCCTTCTGAAAAAGAAAGGGGGCAGAGGGTGGGAAACACTCAAGTCTTATTACAAAAATATCCCCCTTCTACGTTACGAGGCCCAGGGGCAAAGCCTGCAAAACGGACAGTTCCTCTGATATAAAAAAATGACTTCCTACTTTCCTTGATTGGGGGGCTACATAAAGAGCCAAAACAGAGAGAAATACGCACCTGATTAGGATCTACCGTTAGATTTAAAAAAAAATAAAAATAAAAAAACCTTGGTCAAGGAGCCCCAATGCCCTTTGGCCCATCCTGGGTCATAAAACGCTGCTCCAGCCAATGGAGGTGGGGGTGGCTCTCCCACCCCAGCCAGAGACCTGCTCAGAGGACCCCGTTCTCTGCCTCAGGCAGCTTCGTTTTAGGGGGGACGGGGGCTTCTTCTGATCCAGTTTGGATCCGAGAAGTAACGAAACTCTTCAAAGGACCGAGGCCTTCTTGAAAGGGATAAACTGTGGTTTGCACTACCTTGCACCGCGTGTGAATCTAGGCTCCCTTCTTGCCGTGGCGCTCTTTAGAGACATGGGGGCTTGGCTCCCTCCGCGTGTCTGCCGCCACGGTTCAGTGTCCGGAAAAAAGAGGAGAAGCCGGGAAACGAGGCTGCCCCTTCTGGGTGTCTTGCAGCTGCTCCTTCAGAGTGGAGATCTGTGGGTGGATGGGTGGGTGGGGAGAAAGACCCCTTCAGTGTCCAGGCAAGGAGGAGCAGGAGCAGCACCGCAGCCGGGCCGGAGTCCCCGGGAGGGAGGGGGCTCACCTGCTCTTCCAGCCCTCTGCCGCCATGATGGTGGGGATCGCTCCGGCGTTCGCCCTCCTGCCGCTGTGGGGCAGTTGCTTGGCCAAGAGGCTTCTTCCCACGGGCCTGTTCCAGCTCTGCCACCTGCGCCTGGGCCAGCCGAGGGAATGTCGGTGTTAACGTCCATCTGGCTCCCTTGTGGAGATGCGTCCCACCGGTTTTCGTGCTCCAGTCTCCCCCTTCCACTGGGCTGGCCACCTGGGCCAGCACTGACCCCTGGGGAGCCTCCAAGGGGCCAGGGAGTGGAGGGCCCTGTTCCTCTCCAGGGAGCTGGCAGGGGCTTCCCCAGCTGGAGGGAGGAGGAGGCGGCGTCCATGGGGCAGGCACCGGTGGAGGCTGCCACCCGCCAGGGCCCGTGGCCACCGTTACCTCCAGCTGCCGTATCTGCTGTTGGGCTCCCATCAGTTCCAGCTCCGCGCCCGTGAGGGAACGATCCAGGCGCCCCTTCTCCACAGACAGCCGCACCGAGTCCTCGTGAGTCTTCAGCTTCTCACGCTCCACCTGGCGATCCCACCACACCTCAGTTGCTTCACAAAGGCCCCCCCCCCCCCGCGACTCGCACAACCAGCAGGAGAGGATTTAGAGGAAAAACACTCTGCAGGAGCCACTCGGTTAACATGAGATCTGGGAGCTGAGCCCCCTCCCCTCTGGGAACCTGCTCTTGGTCCCCCGCCCCCCCAAGGCCTCTCCTCTCTAGCTTCCCCCAAAGCCGCACGACTGACCTTGTCCAGGGTCCTCCGCAGGGCACCTTTCTCCTTCTCCAGACGCAAGGACAGGTGCTCGGCTTCCCGTTTCTCGCTCTCCAGCTGGGCCAGGGCCTTCTGCAGACTGCCCAAGCGCTCCTGGAGCAGGCGCCGGTCCTCTTGCGCCTTCTGCAGCTTCCGCAGGGCAACGGCCTCCCCTTCCTGGCGTTGGCGCAGCAGCTGCAGGCGGGGGCGGGGGGTGAAGAGGGCACGTGAGGGCGAGTTTCCAGGCATGACTCACCCCTGCCTGCAAAACCAGCTCTTTAGGGATGCCCGGGAAGACTCTCGGCCTAGCCAAATTTCCAACGGGCCTGGCAGGTCTGCTTCCTTATGGCGAGCAAGCCAAGGGCATCTCTGCGGGGTCGAGCGACTCGCCTCTTCCTGCTGTCTCCCCATCCCCTCTAGCTCCTCCTTCTGCAGCTCCAGCTTGGCCTGCTGCCCGTTCAGGGCTTGGAGGCGCTCCGAAAACGCCCCGTTCTGCTTCTTGGCTTCCGAGAGGGCCTGGCGGGCTGCCTCCAGCCGCTCCTGAAGGGACACAGGAGGATGGAGGTGGGTCCCATCTCTCTCGGCAGAGCGACGGCCACCGTCGACGAAGGGGGTGCCCAAAACACACCCACCTGCAGGATCCTCTGCTCGTGCGCCCCGGCTGCCAGGGCCTTCTGCAGCTGCAGCAGCTTCTCTTGGGCCGAGGCGCTGCTGGTCTGGCTCTGGGACAGGGTGGCCGTCAGCCCCTGCACCTTCTCCTTCAGGGAGCTCTCGGAATCGGCAGCCTTGGCCAGCGAGAGGTTGAGTTGGTCCAAGGAGCGTTGCAGCGTACCGGCTCGCATCTCGCTCTCTGTCACCTAGCGTGGTGGGAACGGGCCAAAGTCAGGCTGGCTGACAGCCAAAGACTCCACTCCGTGCTCTGCCGCCAAGGGGATGGGTAGGGCTGGGCCCAGAGCAGTCCCCTGTGATCGCCCGAGAGCTCACCTGCCTCTGCATGAGGGCAACGCGCTCCTGAAGCAGCTGGAGCTCAGCCTCGCGGTCACTTAGCACCACCTTGGCCCGCTGCAGCTCCCCTTCCAGCGACCGCCGCAGGAGCTCCAGTTTGGTGCTGCGGCTCTCCGAACTGCCCAGGGCGTCTCTCAGCCGCCGTTTCTCCACCTCTAGCTTGGCCTCGTTGGCCTTCATCTTGCTGAGTTTCTCCTGGGACAAGCGAGAGGGCGGGAAGGGCAATCGCCAAGTGTTTCCAGCTAGCCGACTGGGACAGGCTGAGCTGATCCGGAGATGGCCAGCTGGGAAACCGGTGAGCTCTGGGGGTGGGGACGTAGCTGGTTCTGCCGCCACCCCTCGGCTCAGCACACGGCACGGTGGGCTGGTTCTTGAGCTTGGAGTTCAGGAGAGAGAGCCAGGATGGGGAAGCCCTCCTGGGACTCAGCAGAGGAAGCTGGATGGGAGCAGCGGTTATTTCCAGCTCCGCCCTTTGCTCAGATGGTGGGGAGAAGGATGGAAGAATCCCCCCTCCCCTACACACCCCCTTCTGCAAGGCCAGAGGAGGAACCTGCCCCCCCCCCTGCACACCTGTGTGGCCCTCTGCTCGCTCGTGGCCGCCTGCAGGTCGTGCTCCAGCTCGGCCAGCTTCTCCGCCTGGGCCTTGCGCTCTCGCTCACTCCAGCGCAGGGTCTCCTCCTGAAGCATCAAAGCCGTCTGGGACCCGGTCAGCTTCCCGTCCAGACTGCGCCTCTCTGCAGAAGGAGCAGCGCCTGCGCTCAGGGAAGGGCTCTCCAGAACTGTCTCCCTCTTTCTGCGGGGCAGGGGGGCAGCTCCGGTGACCAGGGGGCCAAGCCCAAAGAAGGAACCCCTCCAAGGAGACGTTATCTCACTGAGCAGCACCCTTCTGACTTGGGTGCCAGACGCTGTAGCCGAGGGCCACTGTGCTGTTTGGACGGCTGCCTTTACCAAACTGACACGTGTTAATTCGGGAGAAAGGGCTCGTCTTCTTTCCGGAAGTATCCGGTGAGAAAAGTTGTCTCCCACGACAAGCAAAGTGTGAAAGGGAGCATTCGCCACCCCACCCCCCCAGCTTCTGCCTTCAGAAGCTACATCCACTTATATTTCCTGGGAAGAGAGAAGCAAGCTACCTTCCTCGCAGGCGGCCACCTGCTTCTGCAGCTGCTGCACGCGGCCGCTGGCCAGGTCACGCTGGGCCTCCGTCTCGGCCAGCTGACACTTCAGGGCACCCAGCTGGGAACGCACTTCATCCTGGATCCGGAAAGACAGAAGAAAATGCACCCAAAGTTTCTTTTGGGGGGGGGAGAGGGGGACATCTGCCACTGCAGCCACCCAAAGTGCGATTCCTCTCCTCAGTTTAATGAAGAGAAGGATGAGGGGGGACATGAGAGCAGTCTTCCAGTATCTCAGGGGCTGCCCCAAAGAAGAGGGAGTCAAGCTATTCTCCAAAGAAACCTGAAGGCAGGAGAAGAAGCAACGGGTGGAAACTAATCAAGGAGAGAAGCAACCTAGAACTAAGGAGAAATTTCCTGATAGTTAGAACAATTAACCAGTGGAACAACCTGCCTCCAGAAGCTGTGGGTGCTCCAACACTGGAAGTTTTTAAGAAGAGACTGGACAGCTATTTGTCTGAAATGGTGTAGGGTTTCCTGCCTGAGCAGGGGGTTGGACTAGATGACCTCCAAGGTCCCTTCCAACTTTATTATTATTATTATTATTAGCCTTTCCGCCTTTCCCTTCAAGAAAAGCAGCACATTTAGAGTCAAATAGGGAACAATTATTAATAGAATCAATAATAATAATAATAATATAAAATTATAAATTATAAATAATAATAATAATATAAAACTATACCCGTTCTTGCTGGGCCTCCCTCAGCTCTTCCAGGAAGTCTCGCAGCACGTTCTGAACCACTTCCGGGTCGATATCGGCCACCAGCTGCCCGGCTGGACTGGGAGACGGGGGGCGCTCCGGTGAGAGGGGGAGGGAGAGCGGGCTGCTGGCCAATGAGGCTGGGCTGCCATTGGCCCCCTCGACGTTAGAGGTTCCTGCAGAGAGGGAAAAGGACACGGCTGTCGCCTGCCTGCCCAGCGCCAGAGCCCGATGGAGACCTAAAGCAGACGCCCAAGAGAGCTACCTTTGGGAGGAGAGAAGAATATCTTCGGGGAGCCACTGCTGACCCTCGCTACGGGGGCACGGCCCCGGCGGCCCACCCCCAGGGTCCGCCGGAGGGCCGAGTGGAGTCTGCCCAGCTTGCACTCCGCCTCTCGTTTCAGCCCCTCCAGGCGGGCCAGCTCCACTTCCAAGCCCTGGGCACGCCCCTCGGCCGCGCTCAGCCGCAGGCCCAGCTCGGCCCCCTCTGCCTGGGCCTTCTCCAGCTTGATCTCCAGGTTGCGGGCGTCGTCCAGCAGCTTCTTCTCGGCGACCCGGGCCTCCTCCAGGCTCCCCAGCAGCCCCTTCTCCCGTAGGCGGGACTCCTGCTCCAGGTCCATGAGCTTCCGCTGCAGGTTGTGGAGCTGAAGGGAGAAAAGGTTGGGTACAGAGGCAACTGGGAGGCAGCAGAGTTGAATCCGGAAGGGGAACGTCGTAAGGACCGTCCGCGGTCCTCCTTTCTTGGTGAGGCCAGGCCGGAGGGAGAGAAGCCCACCGCGGAGGCTTTAGTCCGGCAGGAAACGAACT